TAGACTTACAGGACGTTGAAGTAGCTCGAACCGAGACATCCAAAAACAAAAAGTGGATCCGGATTACCCGTGACACTATGGAGCCGAATGGAATGAATATTGAAATTGATCTGAATTGCTACCCAGCAAATGATTAGGAAGACTTTTATTTTAATGATGTCATGTTACCAATGTGTTTTGGGTTTTTTAAACATGTTTTAAATAAGGGAGTATATCCACATATACGGGTGATCACATTCCAAAGAGGCTTGAACAAATGCCATGTACTAGAATCATTAGTTTCTTAGGATAGAGGAGTGCAGGGAGACATCTAGTGACTGTTCATATATATGCAGGGAGTAGAATCCGATAGTAAGAGAGGAAGTGCATCCAATATATGAAGCAGTGGGGGCGTCGCTCTTCCTACTCCTAAAAAGGAATAGTGATGAAATGCACTGAGTGGGCAGAATTTCTGACATCAAGCTACTGGAACGCATTTAGCGTGGCTGCTACAGTCTGTTGGAGAGCGCATACTGACTCTAGCTGGCTATGTATGCTCTCCCTGTGCATGTGTCCGTTTCCTCCCGCACTCCAAAGACACGCTGGAAGAAAGTTAAAAGGAGAACTATGGGGTCAGGGCTTTTCCCCATAGTTCTCCTAAGGGTAACGGGAGAACACAAACTAGCATTCTCCCCGATGACCCGAAGCTCAGCTCGCGGTTTCCCGAGACGCCGCAGCCGGGACAGATCCCGACAATACTGTCTGGATCCACCCAGCTGCGGGATTGAAGCGACGATATGTGTTCGCTCACTTCCCGATTTACTGAGCCGATCACACCTCTGCCCTGCTGAAAGGACCCTGCGTGGTCCCAAAACGTTAGATTATGCAATGTGTGACGTTTAGTTCAAATAAATAGACTTTTTTTGAATTTCATTCATGGTAGTGCTGGTGATTTCTATTATTCATTGACTGTTGTGCACGGCACCATCCGTGATTCTCACTGCAAGCACCACTATTTTCACTTGGACCGGAAGCGCTGTAAGGAGTGCAGGGGGACCTACCATTTTCTGGATGTGGTTTAGAACACATTTAAAACGTGGCAGTTTTAGTCACTGCTTCTTTCAGGAAGACCGATTCCCTTTCGGTACACATGGATAGACACTTTAAGGGTAAACCAGCTTCTTGTCCCACCAGGTGGGTCAAGCAGACAATTATCCAAGCTTATGGCCTCAAGAATCAATTTTCACCCTTCTCGGTCAGGTCACAGTCTACTACATCTGTGAGTGCCTCTTGAGCTTTTCGACATTAAACTCTCAGATTTTTTAACATAAAACAATACTGTAATGTGCGCCCTACTGTAATCCATGGTTGTTTCCCTTCTCTTTGCTGCTCTTCCTTTTAATCTGTATCTGTTCTCATGCTGGGGGATAACTTCTGTTTTGCAGCAGACTGCCTTGTCTCTGAAATGGATACATGGTGTCTGTGTGTAGGTTCACAACCTGAGCCAGGACTACAGGAAGAGGCACTCAGCTGCAAAGGGAAGTTCTCCCCCAGCATGAGAAGACATGAGGATTTAAAAGGAAGAGCAGCAAAGAGAAGGGAAACAACCATGGATTACAGTAAGGCACACATTACAGTATTGTTTTATGTTAAAAAATCTGAGGGTTTAATGTCACTTTAAGCAACTGTTATCCAGATTTGCAAGGCTGACAACCTGATCTTATGTTCTTACATTCTCTAAGTTTTACCAGGTGGGCGCTGCGGCCCCATCTGAAGCTTTGCACATAAGGTACATCAGCCAACTCTGAGCTGCAGGCAGTCCCCTGTTTTCTTGGGCTGTCGGGCATTTGTTTGCCCACCCCTCAGTTGGACGGCTTTTGGACAGCCCAAAGGTTAATGACTTCCTGTGTCCCACAACTGACGAGAAAGAAAATGGGATTTTGGTACTCGCCATGAAGTCCTTTTCTTTGAGTCCAATGAGGTACACACATCACACACTCTGTGACATGCTGGGAGTATGGTTATCCAGGGCTGGCAGAATCTTTTTTTTGGCCCAGTGGTCAATGCTCCTATTGGCGGTAATAAGAACTTCCTGTATTGCTGAATGGACTCCAAGAAAAAGGATTTGATGTCGAGTACAAAAATCCTAGTTTGTCTCTCCCCTCACATACAAGAACACAGCAGAGACATGGCGGATTGTGCCAGTGACCTTACATGGCTTACCTTTAACCATTGGAAGACTGGGACGGAAAGCTGATGCCAAGGGAAGAGGCCACTTTACTAAAGGAAGCTTCTGAATGGGAATTTTTGGCTCTCCAAACCCTAAAAGAAACATTATGCAAAATGGCTTTACATCAGCAAAAGATTAACCCTTTAACTGTTGGACAGTCCAGGGGATTGCCAAATCTATATTTCCAGTAAAAAATATATAAAAATCTAAAATACAACTAAGATTTTAGTGCACACACAATTTTTTGAAAAACATTAAAGAACAAAATTGTTCACATAGATATTAAAATGTGTCAAATCAGATGGCAACAGACTATAATTTTTCAAAATTACACATAAGCGACAATTAAAAACCTCCACAGCGCCACATTAAATTAGGATTACCTGTATATAATAGCCCTACAATTATTCTGCACACTCTGGCATGCCCAGCAATACTCAATATACTGTATAATGCAAAGATGCATCCCTGGTAGGGTTTTTTTTTTACATATGTGCATGCAAGGGGACAGCCAGGCTCCTTTGAAATAAAAGTGTATTAAAATTATTATTTTTTTTTTTAATTGATTGTATTGCTATATCAATGGGGGCGTACAATCCCCCTATGTGAAAGAATTGTACATAGAGGAATTTTCAGACCGAAACTAAAAAATGTCATGTCAAAAGCGAAACTTTACAATTTTTTTTATATTTTACTTTTAAAATTACTTTTAGGGGCTTTGGAGAAATGTCAGGCATCTAAACAGACCCCTGATGTTCGACTTTTGAAATAGAAAAAGAGATTGAGGACACAGAGTCCTAAATCTCTTTCTGCAGCCCCTGTTATAAACAGGAAGCCTCTATGCGGAGTGCTAGTGTCCATTCATAAATTGTGGAAATGGTATGAGTAACCATGTCCACAATCATGAATGAATGAACAGGAAGTAATGTAGAGCACTTCCTGTTTATTCATAACTGGGGACACAAGTAAACATACCATGTCCTCAGTTATTTACGAACACTCAGGGATCAGTGCTGATCGCTGAGTGCTTGCCATCCGCTCTTCATCCTGACTGCTCCACCTGTCACAGGATGCTGAGCGGGCGGGGAGGAGAGCTTGGCCTCCTGTGACACGGTTGAGAGCGTTCTCCTCCCCACGCGGCCTGCTGAAAGTTTCTTTCCTCCCGCTGGGTGCTGCTCTGTGTCAAAGGGGAGGAGAGAAAGTAAAGAT